CAAGCATACCAGTTTCCGCAGTAAGGCTGAAAATACGTCCTGTTTTTAATAAATTTCTTGAATACATGTCTTAATTATGCCTACTTAATTAATTGTTGTTATTGATTTTAGTTGGTCTAAATTAAGTAGATTAGACACAAATTCGCTTATATGGTTTTCCTACACGAACGCTGTTTATGTGCCTCATAACCGTGCAGCCCAGGTGTGTTCTTGGCAAAAGATTTTTTACCAGCTTTTTTTTGTTTTGTTTTTGCACATTTAAGATTTCTGTCTTTCCACTTACAGCTGCAGTGATGAAATGGAGCAAGGACGCAACTGAAGAAATTATTAAAAAAACATGCTTCGGAGCACCTCAAGCATGCACCAGCAAGAAGCCAGGGAGGGGGACACACACAATAAACAATTATACAATTTAAATTAATATAAATAAATACGTTTTAATTGAATGCGCCTTGTGTCTGTTTATTTGTCCTGTGGATGTCAATATTGGTTGTTCAAAAGACGTCATAAAAACTTTCATTCTTTCAACGCAGGACAAAGACGTTGAAAAGACGTAGTTTGGACGTACTTTTGCTCAGTGGGACAGCATATCTAGCCTCTTGCTTGTTTTTCTACAAAGACCATACAATAAATCTTTGTACAGTGTGTATATTGAATTTGGTTCCTGTGTGCATCACAACATTTCTAGAACTTTTCATTTTAAAACTAACAAATCACCTTTCTTTATGTCCCTCTCATAGTTTCTGTGATGCAGAGACCAGCTGTGGTGAATGACAGCTTCAAGCCCATCATCATTAACACAGTGGTGGTCCGATACAAAGAGTTCCTGCATAGACTGGGCAAAGTGCTGAAACTTGGCAAAGAAGTCCAGGTGTCACGGGTCCCACTCGGCTGCTCCAAGTGGGTCTCGAACCCGGGTCTCCGGCACTCAGAAATGAGTGAGCATTTTAGCACTTAGAGTTCCATTGTCCTGTAGTCAACAGGTTCTTCTTTTTTTTCTTTTTTTTTTGTTAAATGCCTGCAAATCTTAAGAAAAACTCTTGTCTCCTAAAAAATATTTTCACATTGTATTTTACAACATAAAATACATCAGTAATACCAGATATCAGATTTTAATCCCGTCCGAATCTGCCTCGTCTGTGTTTTTCTCACACAACCTCTGTAATAATTCCAGAGCAAATTACTTACTGTTTTTCAGCAAAATCAGTGATCCTCTGAGAAAACTAGTCCCATTCGAATGCGAATGTCTGTGATTGCCGGTGATATTTTTTTCACAACGCGTTTCCTTGTGTGTTTTGGCCAACGTGAATTACCGTAGATGCTCTTACCGCGCGCATGTTTGATATATTTGCTTCCCGGCAAAGAAAAAAAATTAATCAAATAAAATAAAATAAAATCAAGAGCCAGATCACGTAAACTGTTAAGACTG